TCTCTGTTTGTTCCCACATAGAAACTCTAAGATTGTCTAAGAAACATGGGTTTTAATTAGCCTTCAGTTATGCAAAGTTACCTCTTCCATATTCTAGCAGCTAATGGCATTCCTTGGCTTGTGACCACATCTCTTTTTTCTGCCTGTACACTTCACCAATTGACATTTGGGGGCCCACTTATGTTACAGTGGGGTTTTAGCATGTTCCTGAAGTTTTACTGGTTGCAGTAGTAGCAATGGAGGTGGAAGCCATGGGAGCTCAGACTTGTATGAGATGGCCTTGAAGTGGTCTGGTCTTCCTCTCCCCCATAGCCACTCGCTGTTCCTGATAATCCACTGGAGTCCATCCTCCACACAGCAGCCAGAGGGGGATTTTATTTTTTATGTTTATTTTTTGGTACTGGGAATTCAACCCAGTGGTGCTTAACTACTGAGCCACATATCCAGCCCTTTTAATTTTTTTAATTTTAAAGAAGGGTCTTGCTAAGTTCCTGAGGGCCTCGTTAAGTTGCTGAGGCTGGCTTTGAACTTGCAATCCTCCTGCCTCAGCCTTTGGAGCCACTGGGATTATAGGAGTGTGCCATCGAGCCTGGCTGGATGGGGCTTTTAAAGATGTGAATTTGATCATGTTACTCCTATGCCTAAAACTCTTTATTCCTTCCTTTTTTTTTTTTTTAATACCATCAAGGCCCATGGTCTGCCTCTTTCTTGAAACCCCACCCACCACAGCTCCAGCCATGGAGGGTCTTTCTTGCCTCTGGGTCTGATGCTACCCTTTCTCCTTGTATGACTGGCTCCTGATCTTCCTCTGAATCTTAAATGTCATCTCCTTAGACAGGTCCCCCTGATCCACTAATCAATCATAATCCTCCTGTTATCCTATTTATGCTGCCTCCATCCTTTTATTCTCAGCGCCTCTCACAAGCTGATTGAATATGGGTGTGTGTATGATATTATGGAACTACTCTCCTGGACAAAAGGCCCATTATAGGCAGGAATGGACCTGTTTTGTTCACTATTCTATTAGCCTAGCCTCTTCCAGTGCCTGCCATAAGCAGATGCACACATATAAAATATTGTTGAAAAATAACTTATGCAACTTTTTCTTTTTTTTTTTTTTTTTGAGATGGGGTCTTGCTATGTTGTCTAGGCTATGTTGCTAAGTTGTCTTCAACTTCTGGGCTCAACTGATTCTCCCATCTTAGTCTCCTGAATGCTGGAACTACAGGCATGTGCCACCATGTCTGCAACAAATTTTTATGATTTTTTTTCTGTTATTGATCCACACTACCATTTCATTCATTCTGTGTCTACTGACAGAGCATCTACTCTGAGCCAGGAGCTGCATTTGGTCCTGGGAATGCAGCAATGAAGTAAGTAGACAAAAATCCCAGACCACAGGATGCTTTTTTCCTGGTGACTCAAGTATCTTTGATGTATGTCTCATGTCACATCTTAGTCCCCCCCCCCTTTTATTTTTTGTTCAGCAACCAGTTGAGACAGGAGTTGGTGGGTAAATACTCCATATTCAGTCTTGCATTCTCCCCAGTTCCTCAGAATTCTTAGTCCATGGGACTAAGTCCCAGTTGCTCAAAGAGTTTATATACATACTCTAGAATAGGCTTTCTCTCTTTCACTATTTCATCCTTTCTGCATCAAATTCCCTTTTCCATCCCTATTCCACAGGCTCACTTCTCATAAGAAACTTCTTGTCTGTAAGTCCTTTTCCAATACTGCTTTGGGGGGAACCCAAGGTTTTTCTTTTTGTTGAGTCATTTTCTTCATTTTCAACTTGGGTCCCTGTTTGCATTTCAGGTTCCTAAATGGCACAATCAGATATACTTTGTGTGTCTTCCCATGGTTACTAATTCAGAGCCTGGCAAATATCAATAAATGTATGTTGATTTTTTATTTGATTCAACAAAAGAATGCAGTGGCTATCAGTGGCTCAAGAGAAGCCTGTGATTTCTGGTGCAGAGACCTCTGCCTGATGTTGCATAAAGCCAGGACATGCCAAGGAAATTACTGTTTTCTCTTTGATGTAGCCATTCTGCTTCCTTCCTGGGATGTGTTCCCTGTACCTTGCCTTCCAGCAGCAGCAGGTTAGCAGACGCTCCAACTAGCTCTTGAGCTTGGGCAGATTTGGAGCTGGGGCACTCACTTAAGAGGGTTCTGCCTGCCACCTGCTTCCTCCCAGCTGGGGTGAGAGAGGGAAACTAGCCCCTCCTCTTCAGGGGTAGGATCTACATATCCTTCAGTTGGTGCTGGAAGCCAGATGTCAGAACCCTGTGCTGGAACAAGGCCACTGTCAGGCACTCAAATAAATTGAAAGAGTTCAACATTCTGTACCAACCTTGACTGAATGCATATATAGGAAGTGACAGGCAGCTGGTGAAGGTGCAAAGAGCATAGGACAAGAGTTGTAGTTATGGGTTTACCACTAATTTTATTCTTGTGTGGTCATGTACCACTTTTCTGCCCACAGTTTCCTAAAAATGAGAAGGTTGAATGAGATGGTCTCAAAAGACATCCCTGGCTTTAGTATTCTTAAATTGCAGAACTGGAAGGAATCCGATCTGTCAGTATATTTCAGATAGTCTATTTTCTACTCATTAACACCTTCTCTGTTGGTTACAGCATCATGTCTATTCTAATCCCACTATGAGACTGACAGCTCTAGCCTATTTACTCTTGTACATTCTCAGGCAGTCACACCTGTTTACATACAAACTTAGCACATTTTTGATGATATTTTGTAACTGAAATTTTTCTCACGATAATTGTAGATCCACATTCAGTTGTAGAAAAAATACTTTGCTTAGTGTTGTTTCCTCCAACGATTATATTTTGCAAAACCTTAGTATGATGTCACAATTAGTATGTTGATAAAACTCACCTTTTTTATTCAGATTTCTCCAGTTTTATTTGTAATAATATGTGTCCAAGTTCTACACAATTTTATCACTTCACCATAATCAAGAAACTTAGTTCCAAAGTCCCAGGATCCCTTTTATAACCACACCTACCTTTTCCTACCTAATTTCAGCCCCCACTCGATTTTTTTTTCAAAATGGTTTAGAAATGAACTTGAACTTACAGAAATGTGTCAGTGCACCCTGTATCCAGAGCACCCATAAAAGTTTGCCTATTTGCTTTATCACCTTTTGCTCTCAAGATGTCTTTTCTCCTATAATGATGTAAGCTAAGTTGCTTGCATCATGATCCTTCACCCCTTAATGATACTTCGGTGTGTATTTCCTAAGAATAGAGACGTTTTTGTATATAAATGTAGTATAAGATATCAACGTTAGTAAATTTAACATTGATCCAATACTTCAATCTACCATATGGATTTCTATTTTATCAATTGGAATGTCCCTTATAACACTTCCTTCTGCCCCATTCAGGATCTAGTGCAGGTAACACATTTAGTTGTTAGACTCTGGCACTTTTAAATCTGAAACACTTCTCAAGATTTCTTTTGTCTTTCATGACACTGAAGAATATGGCCCCCACCCGCTTTTAGTAGATGTTCCTCATTTTAGGTTTTTCTGAGGTTTCATCATCATTGGATTCAGGCTATGCATTCTCCTGAGTATACTGCAGAAGTGATGTTCCCAAGGACAGGATACCCATCTGCTATCATTGGTAACGTTAACCTTGAATTGCCTAGTCAAGATGTTGTCCACCTGCGCTTTTGCATAGTTACTATTTCCCCTTTGCTACTAATAAGCAAGTCGACAGATTCCATGCAAAAATCTAGTTCTCAATAACATTTCCTTAGAGTTAGTATCTATTAAGCTCCCCACAATCAATTTTTACTATTTACTTGCTCTCAGATCTTTTTCCAGTATGGGAAATTAAATTTTATAGGGTTTAGTTTCCTTGCGTTTTAGGTTCTAGTTTGAGTCCTCTCCAAGTCCTCCCAATGTCCTGTATATTCTCTGAGCAGAGATGAGGCTGGACACTTAGTCTAGGCAGCCTCAACTGGAAATGATCTAATGTGGGCTGTTCCCATTAAACCGTCCACAAGTGATTTGCATAAGAGTGTGGCCTGGGAGCGCTCACTTCCTGGATGGTTTCCTGAGCTCCCCTCCTCTGCCCAACCCCACTTTTACCCTTACTCTTTGGTAGCGTCTTGTTCAGATTGCCGGTCCGCATTCCCCCTCTCCTGGGTCAGTACTCCCAGGGTGTAAGCCTGACAGGGGACGGCCGACCCTACAGAAACCCAGCGTCCGGATTTCCACTGCATTCATTACATACACCCCGAGCGCGGGACAGGTCGCCGGAGTCCCATTCTTTGCTTTGACTCTTAGATCGACACCGAGAAGTGCCAGAAGTAAATAAATGCGCAGCAGAGATGCGATAAGCTTTTCTCGACCCAGATATTTCCAGGACACTTCTACGTGCCCAGCGGCGCCGGTAAAAAGCACCTGGGTGGCAGAGGGCTGCCTGGAGAGGCGGAAGGGGAGCGGCCGCGCGCGGC